GCATATCTCCAATGATGAATGTCATTATGTTGTACACCTAAAATGTACCAATAAAAGGATAAAAAAAAAAAAAAAAAAAGAAGTCAAACTTGTAGGATTTTAAAATGTACTCAATAATTCAGTATATGAATTATAAATAAAATAATCTATGTGCTCAAGTCAAATATAAAGTCTTGAAACAAACCCAGTGTACTCAATGGAGACAGAAAAAGGATACATATTTTTGTTTCCTCTGGACTATATCCATCCCTTGAACATAAATTGAGTATTTGTTCAAGGAACTCCTCTAGGAGAGGCTAATGTTTGTACAGTTCTCTTATATTCCCTTCTCTTTGTTTTAGTGACATTCTGAACTTCATTCTACACTTATCAAGTATACTGAATGAGAACTCTAAAATAGTATTACAATAATTTCAAATACTATGTTCCATTCGAAAGCCTAACTTTAAAGTATTTCAGCATATGCTACCTCAGTAATATCATCCCTCTAATGAACTATTCACAAGTAACCCAAAGATTGTATTTGAAATAAAAAAAACTATTTTAACTGCTCAAATTAAGAAACTGGCATAATTATGGTAACACATTATATGTATCAGTTTATAAACCTACAAACAACAGACTAATATTCACCTGTCTGGTCAAAAATTACTAAAAGATTCATTAGAATCTTTTAGAATACCTCAGAAAACTGATTAGGTTTTATATAGTTTTGCTTTCAAAATGAATTAATATGTTTTAAAACAGTCTTCTGATACACATAAGTGTTAATAATATAAGCATTAAGCTAAGATCAGAATTACCAAAACTAAATCAACTAGTCAGGGAACAGCTGACAAAATATCAGTATTCTGAATATTACGTGAATATCCCCCAAAAAGCACTGAATACTTTCATAATCAACTTTTCATAATAGCTAAAACTGAAATTAAAATACTCATTATAATTGTAAATTACTTTAAAGTTGTCAGCTAATACATCTTCCAATTTTTCGTATGTACATTTCAAATTTCATTTAGCAAAACTATCACATCAAATTCGCCTTTAATTACCTTCAATGGAATTTAATATAGCCGTAGTACAGATATTTTATCAACTCACCAGAACACATAAAGAAGATTTCTTTTGGGAAGAAGGAAAACAAGGAAGGTAATATGGAATATGCTTTTAAGTGCTATATTTATGAAATGCACAATAAAATTATTCCAAAATTAACTTAAGGGTTTTAATACATACCAGGCTCCAACTTGATAATTTTTACTGCAGCTAACTCTCCTGTATGTACATTTCTGGCCTAAAAATAAAAATGAAAACAAAAATTTTAAACAGTTTGTTAATTACATAAACATTACTTGGCGTTATGTTACTTATCAACCACACTTCTAATAAAACTGAAAACCAAAATCTTTCTTTCCAATAAAATTACTACATTCATTTTAAATAAATAAAAATATAGAAAAGACACAAAATACTTTTTAAAATTAACTTAGTTCTAACCAGTCAAAAATAGTTACTACTCAAAATTTTGGAATATTGCCTACAAGCCTTTCCTTTACACTTGGGTTAATATTTTCAGCAATTAGAAAAACTACTGTTAGAAGTAAGTTTCTGGTATTATACCCTATAGTAGAGTGACTATAGATAATTATGTATTGTGTATTTCAAAAAAGCTAGAAGGATTTTGAAGCATTTTATCACCAAGAAATAAAATTTGAAGAGATACACATGCTTACTTTGATTTGAACATTACATTGTAAATATGTATCAAAACATCATATGGCCCTTATAAATAGGTACAATTTCTATTTTTCAATTAAAACATAAAGTTTCTATATAGAATCCAAAACAAAAACCTCACTTTTCATTTATATTATAAACATAATTATACAGTATTCAAGGAAATATAAAACCAAATCACTTTCATCTAACTACTCAGAAAAGAATGGTTAACTTTTTCTTCTTTTTTTTTGAGATAGGGCCTCAGTATGTAGTTCAGGCTGGTCTTGAACTCAAGGCAATCCTCCTGCCTCAGCCTGGGGATTTCATTCAGTGGATTATAAAACCTGTTAATTTCATAATAATGATAGCAATTATGTTTGCACATTATAGTTTGCAAGATACTTCATATACATTATTCAATTCAATTTATTTAAACACAAAAAGATTCACCTCGGTAAAATTAAATGACTTGCCCAAGGTCATCCAGCTGGCAGGGGCAAGAGTCAGATTTAGAACCCAAGAACTGTATTATGAGGACAAGATTTAATTGCTCATTTTCATAAGATGAGAATTCTCATTTCCGTTCTAAAATGTAACAGGGCACACTTGAGTCAAGTTTTAATTGTGTGGCATGGTTTGGATATGAAATAGCCTCAGAAGCCTACATGTTGAAGGTGTGGTCCCCAATGCAGCAGTGTTCAGCGGTCAGGCCTTTGGGGAGGAGTCAAAGAATCATGAAGGCTTTAATTAATTGAGAATCCATGATAAATTACTGGGTTACTGGGAGGTGATGGAAACTTCAGGAAATAGGGCCTAGTTAGAGGATGTGGATCACAGGCAACATGTCTTGAAGGGTATATTTTATCCCTGCTCCCTTCTTCCCTCTCCAAGCCAAGATGCTCCACCATGCCCTGATGTTCCAGAGTACTACAGACCCAGCTTCAATTGGGCCAACTGACCACAGACCAGAACCTCTGAAATCATGAGCCAAAATCAATGGTATTTTGTCAGTGATATAAAAATAACATGTTAGAATATTTAACAGATTTCAGTGGTGAATTTGTTGAAAGTATATAAAGTAATATTCTCATCAACTTTCATATGAAACTAGCAGTTACTATGATGATTTTTCATGTAACAGAATATGAACTATTATACATGAACCCAAGTTCAAACCCCGGTACCAAATAAATAAATAAATAAATAAATAAATAAAATAACAAATTTAAATCCTCTATAACTAGAAAATGCTATAAAACAGTACTCTACTATAAATGATCTTCTTTTATATTGTTTTTGATACTATGAGTTAAAGCATTTTAGAAGAAAATTATAAAAAATTACAAGATTTTGTAGTAATTAAATTAAAATTAAACCAGTAAGTATGACAGTTCCCTTCTCTTGTAATCTCATCTCCCTGAGGAAACTGTTAACAGTTTACAATATTTCCTTTCTTCCTTTAGAGCACATATGTACAAAACAGAACACTAACAGTTGGTCAGTTTCTAACAAGGGTAAAAAATATGGTCCAGCCATGTACCCAATTAAGTTCAAAACTTATGTGTACATGATAACCTGCACACAAATGTTTATAGTAGTTTTTATCTGTAATTGCCCCAAAATGGAAGTAATCCTGATATCCTTTAATAGATAAATGGATAAAATTGTGATATATTTGTACAATGGAATATTACCCAGTAGTAAAAGGCAGTGAACGATCAAGCCATGAAGGAATGTTAAAAACATATTGAAAAGTGAAAGAAGCCAAACCGAAAAGGCAACATACCATGACTCCACCTCTATGACAATCTGGAAAAGGTAAAATTAAAGAGCCAGTATAAGAAAACAATGGCTGCCAGAGGATGAGGAAAGATGAGGGAAGATTATGTGAAATGTGGAATATTCTATATTCATACAGAATATTCATTCAGGCAGTAAATATTCTACATGAAACTGTGATGGTGTATACATGTCATTACGTATATGTCAAAACCCACAAAATGTAAAACACAGAATAAACTTTAGCGTAAACTACAAACTCTATATAGTTAATATCAATATTGGTTCAATAACTAACAAAGGTACCACACTAATGAAAAGTGTCAATGAAGGGGGAAACTGTGTATAGTTTGGGGGCTAGATAAATGTAAATCTATGTACTATCTGTTCATTTATTCTATAAATCTAAAACTGCACCAGAAATTGTCTATTAATAACTTTGTTATTTTAAAAATAATATATACATTTTCAGGCATATTTTGGAGCAGTATTTAGCATTAGAATCAAAACAGATACATTGTATTTGAAGTTAATAAAACCAAAATGAAGATATAAGGACTAAGGACAGCTTGATGTTTTTGAAAAGCACTTAGAACAAAATCAGATTATTAGAGGATTTTCATGACAACCACAGAGCCACATAAAATAAAGATGATGTTTTATGCAAAAGCCAAAATATTCGTATATAGTCACAGAAGTAAAAAGAATATAAATGTACAACTTGCACTAATAGGAATATTTAAATGTCAATCTATGTTCTTGAAGACATATTTCTGTTCTCTTCAAATGAAGAACCGATGGACAAATGTTTGTAATTTTCCAGCTGGATTTTTAAAACAGAAAGCAGTACCAGGCTCTTTTATAATGAAAGGCAAAGAGGCTTTCAGGAAAAAAGATCTTCCACACAGAGACTTTACAGATTCAATTCAATCCAAGAGACATTTCAGAAATTTAACTATGTAATTTCACAATATTGAAAAAGAATTTTGCATTTTGGACACCAATTTTTACAATCTAATGTTTCTCTCCAATAAGTTAAATGTTACACAGAATTCTCTGGTCTTTTTGTTTTTAACTTTAATTTACAAGAACCTAAGGATCCTGCATTATGTTTACAAAAGGAACTAACTGAAGTATCACAGAAACCTAAAAAAAGATCTAACAGTATTTCTGACTTCTGTTCAATTAGTAGGTTATTAGTATACATTAATAGTAAGACGAGTATATTAAACATCTATAACTCCAATGAAGTACATTAGTAGTTATATATCTTAGTTAACTCTTATTAATCAGATGAAAATTATTGGGTAGAAAAAAGTAAATTCATAATAAATGGATTAATATCACTATAAAATCCATAAAAGAACTGTTTCAGGTAAATTTCACCAACATAGTCCCCTTTCATCTTGTAATTTGTAATTTCAAGTCAGTTTACTACTGTATTTTAACTCACTCTCATGTCTTCATTTAATTAATAATAGTTACCCACAGATTTCTACATGTACCAACGAAAGTTTAAAGATGCTGATTTTTCTATTTAAGCCAGTTCCATTTCAACAATATTATGCAGCTGTCAATTTTGTAAACCGTGAACTTTCCCACTTGCTGTAAAATTTTTAATGAAACTAAAATATAATTTATTAAAGGAAAAGTCTAAACATTTTACCTATAAGCTTTAAACACAGAACTAGAAGATATAACTCAATGTATAATGTATCATACTAGCCTTGAATTTGGAAGATTTTTTTTTTAAAAAGTGGGACAAAAACATTAAAGTGGTTAGTAAGATCAGTAAGGAAATGAAAAAACTCTTATAAATGAAAAGAATTCTTATATCCCACCTGTTATTCTTCGTATTAGGCCCCTCGACCTACCTTTAGTTATTTAACTTTCTTCCTATATATGTTTAAGGTTACAAAATTTTTTAATGTGGAGGGAAGGTGAAGTATGCTTATAATCTCAGCTACAGTATTCAGGAGGCTGCATGGTGACCCATGTCTCTAATCCTCCATATTCAGAAGGCTGAGGTAGGAGAATTGTGAGCTCAAGGCCAGCCTGGGTAACACAATGAGACCCTGTCTCACTTTTAAAAAATAAAGAAAAATACTTTTCATGAAACTAAACAGGGGCTTCAGTTTTAACTACACTCCCTTCCTCCAAAAATATTCTTTAACATAAGAACAGAAACTCCAGAAATCCCAATATTTAACAGGCTATCTCTAATGGCCACAGGGTCAGAAATATGCATACCAGATTTAAGAACACGAACTACAAAAATAAAAAGTAGCATCTTTAAGGTTTTTGGTTTTTTTGGTACTAGGGATTGAACTCGGGACCGTGCACTTGCGAGGCAGGCACAGTGCAACTGAGCTAAATCCCCAGCCCTCTTTTACCTTCACTTTTTTTTGGTACCGGGGATCGAACTCAGGTCCTTGTGCTTGCGCATCGGGCAGCGAAACCACTGAGCTAAATCCCTGGCCCAGCATCTTTAAAAAAATGCAAAGTTCCTGGTTCATCCATAAAATTAAACAGTAAATTATATTATAGGCTATAAAACTTCTGTGCCTGATTATGAAATGTTATTTTTAACTGGCTCATTCACCCAAGAAACATTACTATGTGCCAGGTACTACACTACTATTGATATGAGGGATGTAATGAAACAGAAGCAGTTCCTATCTTCTGGGAGCTTTAATCAGCTGGTGAGGGACAGAGGGACTGAAGGGGATGTAGAGGGAGGGTGCAGAGAGAGAAAAACAGTACACACACCACAGTGTAAGAATTGCTTTCAGTGGT